ACACGCGGGCACAGGAGCCTGGGAGCCACACACCCGGCTTGAAGGCCAGTTTTCCCTGTGTGTGTCCTGGGCTGAACAAGTGTCCTCTCTGAGGCCTGGGGCCTCCCAGGCCACCTAGGGTGAGGAAACTGAGCTCTGAGTTAGCACCTCTTCAGCTCCTGCAGCGTCTGGGGACCCCGGCCTCTCTACTGAGGCCGAGCTGAGTCAGCCAAAACGGAGGAGGAATCCACCACCCGAACCTCAGAGCCAGAAGACCGCGGGGGTGGGTGGGGACCCCGGCCAGCCACGGCCCTGGAACTGCCTTCCAAGCAGACCACCCACGGGCTGGGGTCTGGCTGCCAAGCCCTGCTCTCAGGGATCTCTGGAAGTCCTGCTGGTTAGCTGCCTTGAGTGTCTCCAGCTGTAGCTGGGGTCCCGGGGAGTTCCTTTGGGCCTGGGTAATTCTCCCTGGGGACAGCTTCTGATCTGGGTCGCCCAGCTTTGGCCTGGGGATTGAGTCTAGAAAGGCCACTGCGGTTACAGGGTGGTCCCAAGGCAGACGTGTGGGGAAGAGGGGAGGGGTCTAGTCTAGAGAAAGGGTTGTGCTCTTGGGAGACCCAATCTGGGGGAATGGTGTGAGGTGACAATTCCCTAATCAGAGACCGATTCGAGAGAAAGGGGCACCCCCAATACGGGGTACAGGGGAAGAGGGTGTGTCCTTGGGGTGGGAAGAGGAAACAGGACCCCACTATTAGGGGAGCAGTGGTGGGGAGGGGGAGTTATGTCCTGGAGGCCTCCTCTCAGAGGGGAGGCGGACCCACCCTGTGGCCTCCGGGGTGTGCGCCTCCCCCCAAGCGCCCGCCCCTCTTCAGACCGTGGGACCCGCCGTCCCCTCCCTGCTCTGGGAACCGAACACCCGGGCCTGCCAAGCATCAAGGTGACACCGCGGGCAAATCTAAACACCGGGCTTTTTCCACCCTCCGCGGGGGCCCGTCGTAAATCCCCCCTGGAGGCCCGGCCTGGGCTTTTATGGGCCCAGGCCCCAGGCCCCTGGGGACCCAGCTCTACCCCAGCAGGCGCCGGCTCCGGGCTGGACGGGGCTGGCGCCCGCCCCAGGCCTCCCCCCACCG